GCCGGCAACACCCTCTGGGGCTCTCAGCCAATCAGAGAGCCAGAGGGTGTTACTGGCATCATGAATATTTAACCAATATTTAACAGAAATGACACAATTTTCTTTCAAAAGAAAAGTGAAATTCATGAATATTATATGCTTCTTTTAATATTTCCTTTGTCTGAAATAAACATATGTAATAAAAATAAGACAAAGTATTTATAATTAGAACTGATCCAGAAATGGAAATGTTTTTCAGTTTTCTGGACTCATGAAAGGCACTTCTATTTGTTTACTAATCACAGTGTCTCTTTTAAAAGAGGAGTTAAGATGTCAGTCTGTAACATAATGCATTGTTACCAAGGTAACCAAGTCAGTGGTTTACTCTGCTATGCTCCCATTATGATGGTGTGATGGAATAAGGACACTATGATAGAATATGTGAGGATGTGGAATCATTTTGTCTATTTTATGATCCCTGTTTGGGGGAAAATGTACAAAATAGTATCTGAGCTCATGGAAGAGCAAAAATCAGTGCTTGCTGATAATTAAAACAGTCTTTAAAGGAAAAAGAAAAAAAGAAATAACTGAGGAGATTACAATGTTTTATATAGAGGAAGAGATAGAAAGATCTATTCCTGTGAAAAAGAACTTTAAAAAGTATTTTCATCCTTTCCATCAAAAATTATCTCTGGCCAGTTTAGCCTTTGACAGGAAATTGCCTCCAGGCAAACATTGGCATCCCATAAGCAATGTAATTGGAAGTCAGTTTTCAATTGAAGAGCAGGATGAAATCTATGAATATACATATGGTGATAGAAAATTTCCCTGTGATACAGATGTATATGATATAGTGAGGATCAAATATGTTGTGTTCACTCATATTTCCCGTCTCATAACTTACTCATAATATACTTTTTAAAAAAATATATTGAAAGAATTAGTGACTACAAATATGAGATGAGTTGATTGTATTCTAGTTATTTCTATTTTCCATTCACTGGCATATAAACAATTTACTGAGCTGAAACTATTAATATGTATTTATGTTCCAGAACCCTGTATTGGAGTGAATTGGACTGAAAGAGATTAAGTACCCCAGTGAAACAAACAAAATGTTAAAAAGTTAAGATATTGATGCAGTTATTTACCAATCACATCTAAATTATATTAAAGTAACCAAAATATCTTTACAATCCCCAAGACATGTCACAATTTTTGAGCACCCCTAATGTTTGGAAATTGAAAGTCGAAAAATTTGACATGTCCTAGAACCCCATAGTTATCAGATTTTTTTTAATGACAGGTTTTTAGAGGAACTTAATTAATAACTAATACAGAATAAAAAAGGAGAAAAAAATAAAAAGTTAAAAATAGAGAAAGAAAAGATAAAAAGAAATAGAGAGAAGAAGCTTCTGCATTTTGCAGCAAACATAAAGTTATCTCTTACTTAGGGATGCACAAAAAGCTGGTTCTTTCTATTATACATATTTTTATTTTTAATTATCAAAACCGGAAGTTATAACTGCATTTTTTCTGTTTTATACCAATAGTTTATAAGGAATTTCCAGTCAACCCGAAATGGGGGGGAGGGGAGGGTCGCTTGGGTAGTAGGCTGAGAAAGTGGGGTTAATATGTGAGGTGTGAGTACAAGTCTTGCTTGGCATTTCACCTTCCTGCCTTTTGTGAACTTTTGGGTACATGCAAGGAAAGCAGATTCAACCGAAACCCTACCTTTTTTCTCTCCCCCAAACTCTAGCAGAAATGGGTCTTCATGAGGCTCATCACACCAGTGCAGCCTCTCGCAGAAGGACTCTGCAAGGCTTGTTGTGCCATTGCGTGTGCGAGTGGCAGTGCCGTCATGATGAGCTTCGCAGTGTCCTGCCACAAGTGACTGCACCGGTGAATTGAACCTCACAGTGGTGCCAATGCTTACACGTGCAATGCCACTACAAGCATTGAATTCACCCACCATTTCACCATGAACCACCCTGCTCCTGAAAGCTAAAGCAGCTGTGGCTTCAACAGTGCCTGCTCACTAACCTTGAACATGCTCAGAGAGTGCCAGGAATGCCAGAGCTGAAGTGCCATTTTCGGCTTCTATGGGATCCTGAGCTGCCTTGAAGGATAGGGCAAAATAATAATAATAATAATAATTAAGCCATCCCTCAAAAATAAGCTCTGGCACTTATTTCGGAGGTAAAAAGAAAATAAGACCTGGTCTTATTTTCGAGGAAACATGGTAATATCAGATATGTTGCATGTGCATGCTTGCAACATTCTAAACTTACTCCATGGAAAAGAACTGGGAAAGCCAAGACTAATCTATCTTTTAATGGTGGCAAAAATTGGTCCCCTTCTACACCTGGCATATTGGATGACTGTGATATCTCTTTATTACTGAAACTGGCTTACATTGCACAAGTTCTCCGGGATTGGGCGGCCTATAAATCTAATAAATGAAATGAAATGAATGAATGAAGTTCATACCTTAATGTAGATTGGGCACAATATGCCCTTGAGAGGCTTTTTGAACTTATAACTCAATAGTTTTACAGTGGTATTAAAGTAGCACTGAAAAGAAGGGGTTAGAGTTTAATACTACTTAAGTGACAAAGCTTACAAGTTTCCACATGTTTAATTACTTGTTTATAATTTATCCTTTTTATCATTCATAGTGCAATATGTGCAATACATAAAAAGAAGTCGAGAGTAAGTTAATCTTCCCTATAGAATGAAATAGTTCGCATTTCAATCACTCAGGCTAAAAATTGCAACATAGTGGTTTTTTTTAAAAGAAAACTGATCAAATGATACAACAAATTGATATAATTCCAAAATAAAAAAAATAGTGTAGCTAATTTCTTAGTGTGATTAGCTTCATATCAGCTAACCAGCAGGGCGTTAATTATGCATGAAATGATAAGTAGGCTTTTATATTTGCTGAAGTAAGGTTTAGCCTTTTGTTTTGATTGCTTCAACTCAGGTGTGGTATTTCTGGAAGATGGCTGAATCAGCAAAAAGTCTGTTTTCTGAAAGTCTTTTTCTAGACTTGTAACAATTTTATATGTTGTTCCTTTAATATGCTTTGTGTTCAAGGATCATATTAGATTACTTTTCTGAACCAACTGGATGATGCAATGATGGGAAATGGGAAAATTGGTGAATTATTTCTTTGTGTGCATGTGTGTGTTAGGGTGGCCTTATATGTGTGCATGGATGTGACATTATTTCATTTTTAAAAAATAAAAAATCATTTATATATAATATAATTATATCATATCATATCTCATATCTCATATCATATCATCCTAACATTGTTTTAGAATTATCCTAGCATTAACAAATTAACTCCCAAAAACACATGCACCATTTTTCAGGGCCATATTAAAATCTATAAAAGAGGCATTACTTTAGCGACTAATACAGAACTGATTTATTCCTATGAGATTCTTTCAAATTATTTTCAAAGCATGCACAGCACAATCTTTGATATGGATATTTTTGGTAATTTAATTAGAAATACATGGTTCCAAGATAACCTACTTTGTAACTTGGAAAGATGTTTATAGTCAAGTTATCAGTACAAGAATTATATGAAATACAAGAATTAGTAAATATTGAGTTTCCTTCCAATTTTAATTAGTATACAGAACCACTCATATGAGGGGTTTCTGAAGCAAGTAGATAATAAACTAAGGAAAGAATCCTTGGTAAGGTTGATTTGATTGATTTTGATTTGATTTTATTGTATTTCTATGCCGCCCTATTCCCAGAGGGACTCAGGGCGGCTCACAAACCAAGTAAAGGGGGAGGATACAAACAGGAAAAAAAGACAATGGACAAACAACACAACAATTTAAAAACAAGCAACAGCCACGCAAGTCGAGGGGGGACAGGGACTCATCAGCCCCAGGCCTGTCGGAACAGCCAGGTTTTANTCTACTGAAAACGTTGTTTTTGCTTATGATTGGATAATTAAAATTTCAGAAGACCCAAAGGCATAGTATAGCAGTGATTTCAGGAGCAAGGAATCAAATTGAACAGTTTATATGCAACTGAAAAGGAGCTTCTAAAAGTGATGGCAAGGCAGGAAAAAGGTGTTTTCAATTATAGTGCTCCTGCCCTATTTACAGAGCATGTTCTTTTTATTTTCTCAGGATTTGGTGTTTTTTTTTAGCATTTTTTTAACTTTTACTGGTATTTATATTTTCTATTGCCTTGTTTATTATATTTTATTGTCATTATTATAGCTGCTACTGATGTTTGCAGTTATGCTCTTTAAAAATGTTGCTTTAATACCCTGCAAACTTTATACAGAGCAGAATAAATAATAAATCATTTGTGCTCTCTCCCCTTGTGCGTAAAATCATTGGAGTGCCGTGGTGGGCACCTTTCCACCTTAGAAAACGGACAGAGATCGGGTTCACCTTCGCGCTCTCGATCCCAACCTTTTGTTGGCATCCTTAAAAAATGCAGACGAGCCAGCCTCGCTCGTCCAGTGAGCCCATAAGGAACCGCAGGAGGAGGCTCGCGGCCTCTTTTCTCTAGTCTGTCCCGTGAAGGCCGGACCAGCCACACCCCGGGTATAGAGGCGCTGTTATTTTCTCTCCTGGAAATGAATCACCCTCGGCCAGTTTGGCTTTGACTCCCCCTCCGCTCGCCGGGGCTTCCCTACAGAGAGGAAGGCGGGAGGAGCGCTGCGCGGTGAAGCTGCACCATGGCTGGGATTGCCGCTAAATTAGCCAAAGACAGGCAGATCGCGCAAGGGCTGGGCTCCAACTCCAAAGCCGTGAAGTACTTGAACCAGGACTTTCACACCCTGAGGAACGAGTGTCTGGAGGCGGGCAAGCTCTTTCAAGACCCGTCTTTCCCCGCCGCCGCGCCTTCTCTGGGCTACGAAGAACTAGGGCCAAACTCGCACAAAACAAAAGGCATCGTCTGGAAGAGGCCGACGGTAGGAGACCACCGCGCAGATGCTAACGGGAGAGAGGAGGGAATTACCTGGAGAAGGAGGAGGGGAGGGAAGAAAAGGAAAACAAATACGAGTTTAACGTCGCGTTTCTGTCCTGTTCTGGAGGGTAGGAAAACGACAATGCGGCCTGAATGACAGAGGGCAGTTAATTTTGGGGAACGAATCTGTTCTTTCATCAAGATCTCCGAATACGTGCTCGAAGGTGTCTAAAGTCACCACTGATCCCTGGCGGATCAGGTCAGGGTTGAGTTGTGCCACTGCGTGTCCGCATTGGGATTGCTTGGCTTCAGCCGATTAGGAAGACAAACCGAGTTAAAAAAAACCCCACCAGCCAAGACTGCCTTTGCAAATTCGGCACCGCTTTGTATTTATTTTGTTTGCTTGGTGTCCGATAATCAATCTTTTTGAGGGGCTTACAGCAATTCAACAAATATTTTAAAATGCCATTAAAACGAGCCAAAATATCTGCGCCAATTTGTCATGGATTCAGAACGTTGAGGAGTGCTAAAAGTTTTGTATTTTTCAGTTTTGTATTTTCCACTGTCAGTTCCTGCTGATGTAGGATTGGAATTATATTCCTGATTCTTTGGAATGTGGGATGATTATTATTCAGGTTTAAGTATGTTGACAGGCAGAATATCCAGTTATTTTTGGGATGTTCTGGAGTTAAAACTGTCTATCTGTCAGCATCTTTTCAACTAATCAATTTTATTAAAGGCCTATGCTTTTAGTAAAATGTGTTAGTCAGAAAAAGTGCTATTTATCAGATTGTTGATATATTTTGTTTTTGCCCACATAGACAAATACAACTCTCCTCTTACAAAATTCTTCCAGTGTGACTCAGTCTGCCCCAAAGCACATCAGAGTATGAAGCTCTTCTGCCCAGAAACATTTGTAACGCCTACAGCAAGAAACCAACAGACCTTCACTGTCTTATTTGAAAAAGCTATGTAAAACTCAAAGTCTTGTGTATAGAAGACTTTGTGTAAGCCATTCCCAAATTTGTTAGAGATTATGCTGAGAGTGGATTATGAGAATCTTCTGAGATCTAGAGTATACTAGATTGGGGAAGAATGATTTGCATTTGCTCTCATTATGATTTTCCAAGGTCGGTAAAATGAGGACCCAGATTGTTGAGGGCAATATGTTGACTCTGTAAACCTTTTAGAGAGGGCTGTAACACACTGTGAAGTGGTATATAAATCTAAATTCTGTTGCTGTTCTTCTCCAATCTAGTATCCTCCAGATCTCAGATTCTTATAATTCTCTCTCTCAGATAGTCTCTAACAAATTTGGGATGGCTTACACAAAATCTGCTATTATCAGGACTTTGAGTTTTAGTTTTACATAGCTTTTTCAGATAAGACAGCAAAGGTCTGTCATCTATTCCCAATCTTTTTGGGGATAAATTTGCCCATGTTGAGAGTTTCTGTGCCTTTACTGAATGCTTTCAAGCATTATCTTCCACATTATACAACTCAGAGATTGTATAATTGTATTGGATTTCACCTACATTCATGCTGTCACCTATTCCTTCATGGGTCTTTAGGAGTGAAGATATGTCATCATTTCTTAATCTGGTGCTCTCCAGATGTGTAAGACTGGAATTTTCATAGATCCCATGCTCAGTTAAAATTGTGAATGTTAATTAAGTGGGTGGTCCAACACACTTAATAGTGCAGCCAATTAGACAAATCTCTCCTGATGTTCTGCCCTGATGTTTCAAATTCTACTTCTTTCCTTTTTTATTTATCAGAAATAGGAAACTCATCATATTCTATTTACACATTGTGGTTATGAGAACTATAGTCCAAAAATATCCGAAGGGCTATACCTCACCGCACTTCTTCATTTCCTTGCCTGTTCTTTTTCACCAACCTTACCTTAATCTCCTTTAGATGAATTGATTGGTGCATCTTCTTACATCAATTAAGTTTACACCCATTTACTTTGTAGAAGCAGCTGATTGCATGTTTGCATCCTTTATTCACCAAGCAGAAGGAGCTTGCGACATAAGTCTTTTTGAAATAAATGGAATATTTGGTTTAGAAATCTCAGTATGTTTCCCATTGCCAGGGATATATATTGCTATGCACAAATACATGTACACAGACCTGCATATATAAACATTCCTGAGTGGATGCCATCCATAACTCCAGATTCCACTCAATGCACTCATTGAGGATGAAAGGACAGTTGAACAAAACACAAACTGTTTATTCAAAGAGCTGGATTTACAGAGACAGTATAAAATTTGCTTTGCTGCAGGTTTTAAATCGGATTATACGTGTTTGAATTTCAGCTAATCCAGAAGAATGTGGTTTTGTAAGAGCCAGCAAAATCAGTAGAAAACTACACAGATTATGTTAAAGCAATAATAAAATTAAAATTGGACCATGCCTGTCCATACTTCCTTCCAAAAACCTTGGGATCTCAAGATACTGATTTTAATTACCCAAACCTTTAACAAGCTCTATCTTGTTATAAACCTGCTGCATCTGCAGAAGAGACTCATCTGAGAACATTGATATTAACCAAAGCTTCTTCTAGAACAGTGATGGGCAACCTTTTTGGCGTGGTGTGTCAAAAATC